AGTACCCAGGATGGGAAAGTGTATAGATCCTAGCCTTTGAATGGGATCGCAGAAGCAGTTCATTAAACCCTTTCAGGAGGCAAATATGTGGGCATGATTATTGGCAGGATTCTAGGGTAGTGACACCCTCACGGGAGCGTGGTTGCCTCCCAGCATGCAGCAGGAGCCACCAGGTTTGAATGGGGCACCTTCAATTTTTTGAGCTTATCAATTCTGCTTCAGAGTGATGAAAATCCAAGGGCAGAAGCATGGGTTGCTATGCTCTTCTCTTAGAAGGAAAGTAACTTTCTAGCAAGGCTCCCGCCCATTTTCTTTCCTTTTCCAGCTATCTTCCCGGTTCCCCAGGCCTTTAAAAGGCCAGGTCTGTTCTTCAGCCATGACGAAATCAAGTAGAAGAGCTTCAAAACCATGACACATTTCTTAAAGATACAGTTAGGAAGGAATCTTTATTGTAATTCAGAAACGATCTGTACCGTGCCTAAAACTGCTGCTCAGAGTTGACATGCAATATATGACACTAGAATTTCTTGATACTAAGCACTTAATTAATTGAACGAGACTCCAAAAGGGTACTTGAGAGGAAAACATAATATAGAAGAATAACCAAACGATATTACTTGTTTTACCTTGCTTGTTTTTTTAATGGATTTAAGTACTTTCATTTAAAAGCTACCCCTGTATAAGCTAAGATGTTCAAATGTTTGATGAGCTATAAAGCAAACTATTAAGGGTCTATAATTCAGTGCTTTGTCAAAATGTTTAATCTTGGTGGTATTTATTTTCAGCACCATTATTAGATTCCCCAGTGGAAGAATGCTGTCACTGATTTAGTAATGTTCAGTAATACTGTTTGCATTAAAGTGAATATATTTAAACAGTAGAAGTTTGTTATATAGCATGATAGGAATAGCTTTAAACTGTAGAACTTAAGTAGGCATCTGGAGGCTATTTTTTTCCTTTCTAAGTCTTAAACTGTGTGGAATTTTCCCCTGGGTGGTCTAGAATGAGGCCAGAAATTGTAAAGGAGTGCTTTGAGCCACAAAAGAGGAAGCTAAGACCTAAGTCATTGTGTAACTGATAATCCATCCAGAGAGATGCTTCCAAGCTTCCTGTCACGGACTAAACTGTGTGACTAGTCAGCCTCCTGAGAAACCCTTTGTAATTTAAGGAATCTATTGTAATGGCTCTTCTGGTAGCTGTTGAAAGCACTAAAAGGCTTTCAGCATCAGTAAGACAAACAAAATTTGTGTGTAAATTGGTGATATATAGAATGATATGATGTATGGCTAACTAGGGGCAGTTAGGAGTTGATACAGAATATGACACTAATAACTTAAGTGACTACAGAGCTCCCTTGCAAAATTTTACTATCTTTCATCTATGGAAATTAAGTTAGTGCCTGTGTACATACGTCAAAACTGGAAGTTGAAATGAACTAGAAGGCATCTTTTACCTACACTAGCTGTTCAAGGCATCATGACAATGATTTCAGGACAAGTAGGAGACTTGAACAGTAGGAGACTGACCAGAACTTGACTCTTGGTTTTACCATTACATTAATGGTTTTACCATTAACTACTTGCTACATTAGTTCCCACCTCTGACACGAGACTCTACTATAAAGAGGTACATTGTGTGAAATTGGAGTGTGTTTTCAGGTACAAAAGAGACCTAAATCTCAAGTATAATTTAAGGAGAACATTTATTAAGTTTTAAAAGAGGTGAAGACAACTCCATTCAAATGAGGGAGACTATTAGCACAAGGTTAAAATGGCAACAGAGGATTCAGTTAGGATGATGGCTAAATAAGACACAGAGCAAAGGGAACTGTCACAAATTCATGGTTGGTGATAAATCAAGATATCATAGCTACAGGTGGGACTACAGATGTTGGAACAGGGCATGATTGGTACATGTATATTATGTTAGGTAGAAGAGTTTACAAGATTGGTCCAGAACCTTCTGACTAAGGCAGTCAAGTAAGATTGACAGGGCATGACCAGGAGACCCCCAGTACCGTGCATCAAGGACACACCTAGGTACGCACCTAAGAGACTGCCCTTCCCCCTCATGTGATCTTTCTGCATTCAGCATCACTGCATGTTTTGTGTGAATCTGAAGAAGTATTTACAGACTAGTATAGGACATGTGGACTAATATCAGACTTTCTGTCAGTCTTTTTCACTAAGCAGCATGGTCTCTGGGAAATTTAAGGGTCAATTTTTGTCCCCTGAGCTCAAAATATTCATTAATCACATTTATTTTTGCCATTTCAAACATAAATAACCAAAAACAACAACACAAACAAAGTAATCAAACCTTTAACTTCCCATAGTCGTTCCAGAAAACAGCTTAGTAAACCGCATGGCCATATCTGATCTCTGGCTAGCCAAAGAAGAAAAACGACCATGAGGCAGGGGTCAAATAAGCATCCGCACTCCATCTTCATGATTTGTTTTTCTAGTGCCCCATTCCAAAGGGACCATAATATGGTAGTCCAGGCTGACTAGAGAAACAAATTCATAGATACTCAAACATGTGTAATAGAGAACTTTATATGAAAGAGTAATTATATATTAAGAAAACATCCCAACCCAGTCCAGATCAAGTCCTTAAGTCTGATATTAGCCCATATGTCCTATACCAATCTGTAAATACTTTATCAGACTCACACAAAACATGCAATAATGCTGAGTGCAGGAAGATCACAGGCCAGTGGATGGAAAGTCTTATGGATCCAGTGGAAGCATCTTAGTTTTGGCATGGGTCTCCATGTGGTTCCTCCAGCTCCTGGCTCTGGCTGCCATCAGCATAATTCCATGTGGCTTGTCAACAGGGATGTCTCGCAGGGAGACGAAGCAGAGAGAATGTTGAAGCAGAGAGTCTGTGTGAATGTGGCCTCCAGTGAGCTATTTACCTCCATGGTGCCTCAAAATAAGGTCATCAAACTGCAACCTGATTGACAGGCTACACTCCACCCCTTCGCAAGTTGACAGGAGATGATGTAACTATCACACCTGTCAAATGGGAAAAATCCTAGATAAACTCTACTTTATAATGAGGTACAAATGAATTAAGATATCCAATAGTCTTAAAATAGCAACATGAGCTTTCAATAAACTGTATGTGTTCTGGTAAGGAGCACTGGTGGTGTACTGGTTAAGGATTGGACTACTGCCCCCGTTAGGTTAACAGTTTGAAACCACCAATCACTCCTCAGGAGAAAGACAAGGCGTTCTTCTCCCTTAAAGAATTTCAATCTCAGAAATCCATAGAGCAGTTATACCCAGTCCTACAAGGTCATTATGAGTCAGAATCAACTTGATGGGAGTAACACTGGTTTTCAATCTATGTATTCTGGTGGCACAGTGGGTTTTTTGTTGGGCTGCTAAGCATAAGGTTGCCATGTAAAACCTATCAGCCACTGTCTGGAGAAAGATTAAACTTTCTGCTCTTATAAAGATTTACAGTCTTAGGAATCCAATGTAGACTCTCTATGAATCCAAATTGCCTCAATATCAGACAGCTTTTGTTTTGTTTCATTTTGTTTTCTTCGATGTGTTATCCTTTATTATCATTCTGTTTCACTTTGGACAAATAAACTCACCTTTACAAGCCTTGTTAAACCGGGGTAATAGTATTACCCTTTTACAGGGTATTTGGAGTTCCTGGATGACTGTGTTAGTCTGGATAGACTAAGGAAACAAATCCATGGACACGCATATGTGTATAAGAAAGAAATTTATATATAAGAGCAACTGAACATTGAGAAAACATTCCAACCCAGTCCAGACCAAGTCCACAGTCTGATACTAGCCCATCTCTCCAATATCAATCCATAAAGTCTTCTTCAGACTTACAAAACACATGCAATGACACCAAATGCAGAAGATCGCAGACCAGTGGGTGGAAAGTCCTTAGATCCAGTGTTATTGGAAACACCTCAGCACTGGCAGGGTCTCTCTGTGGCTTCTCCGACTTCCGAGGTCTGGTTGTGTCCATGTGGCTTGTCTTCTGCAATGTCTCCCAGGGAGTAGCAGAGAGAGAGAGAGGTGTCTTCCGCCTCCAAGGAGGAAGTACCAGATTTCCCAGAATTCTCAGGAGAAGGCCATGCCCATAGAAGTCTCATTGGCTATCTCCAGATTGACAGCCTAGACTCCACCCCTACACACTTAATCCTTAAATTGACACCAGATTAGGTGACTACCACAATGACATAAACAGTAAATGAGCTTTGCTGCCAACGGAAAGGTTGGCAGTTTGAGTTTATCAATAAACACCTTGAAAAAAAAAAAAGCTTAGAAATCTACTTTAGAAAAACTAGCTGTGGTACTTACATAATCTGTTGTCAGTTGAGACTCTTAAGAATGAAGAGGTGGAGGTTAGCCTGTCAATCAGGTTGCAGCTTGATGACCTCATTTGGAGGCGCTAAGGAGATAAATAGCTCACTAGAGGTGGGACACATGCTCACTCCCTGTGTGACATTCCTGCCGACAAGACACATGGAATGACCCTAGAGCCCTGGAGCTTGAGGAGCCACAAGGAGACCCCTGCCAGCATTGAGATATTTCTACTGCCACTGGATCCACAGGACTTTCCATCCACTGGCCTGTGATCATCCTGCATTCAGCATCATTGCATGTGTTGCATGAGTCTAAAGAGGAATTTATAGATCAGTATCAGACATATGGACTAATATCAGACTTATGGGCTTGATCTGGACTGGGATATTTGCTCAGTATACAATTGCTCTTTTATATAAAACTCATACACATATGAGTTTCACTGGATTTGTTTCTCTATTCTACTTGGACTAACACACTAGCCATGAAACAGCTATGGATCATAGCTTTGCTCTCACATGCATGGGATCACCATGAGCTAGAATCAACTCAATTGTGATGGGTGGCGATACGTAGAAATGTATGTGAACTAAAGATTTTGCAACTCAGAGTGCCTGGTATATTTTAAACTCTCATTACTAATAGTAATAGTGGCTAATGGTCTGGTTTCTCTTCAAATTGCATAAATCTTTCACCTTTAACTAAAAATTTCCACGGAGAGAAACAAATACAAGTTCTTAACCAATTTTTTGAGGTCTTGTGTAAGGAAGACATAAAACAAATAATTATGTCTAACCTTTATATTTAGTATCGCTGCCATTTAAAATTACTAACTACAAGGTAGACCTATATGAGGCGGTAGCCAAAACCAACTGGTAATTTTTTTCAATGTTATGTATTTAATTTTTTTTTTAGAAAGCAATCTTCTCACCTTCAAAGTATTCTCCATTACACTTAATAATTTGTCAAATCTGATTCCATTCTAGAAAACATTTTCCAAACTAATCTCTTTGCATGGCTGACAGCACCATCCTTGTTTTTTCCTTCACATCTTCTAGGTCTTCAAATCACTGCCCTTTTATGTCCCTCTTCATTCTTGGCAAAGAAAAAAGAAGAAGAAAAAGTCAAACAGAGCTAAGGTCTGTCAAGTGAAGGGCATAGGGCAAAAGAGACACGTTTTTTTGCCAAAAACTGGCACACTGAAATGGCTGTATAAGCAGGTGCATTGTTGTGGTCGCAAAACCAGTCTCCATCCTGCCACAAACCAGGCCTATTTTGCTGCACATGGTTACACTATCTTTTCAGAACCTCTAAATAGAAAGCTTGATTAACAATCTGACCTAGTGGAATGAACTCCAAATGCAGTATGAGTCCACATTTTTGTCTGTTCAGGAAGGTGATGGATTTCCAGATGAGGTTTGCCATCAATTGACATTTCACCTTTTTTGAAATGAGAAAACCACTCATACAATTGAGTTTTTCTCATAGCTCTGTTCTTGTTAGCTGTGTTCAACATGACAACAGTTTCTGCAGCATTTTTCCCAAGCAGGAAACACAAATTCACAGCCACATGTTGTTCTCTTATATCAGCCATTACTAAAAACAAGGTTTGAGTGAAACTGCTTTTATGAAAGAATTCACTGTGACCAAAGAGAACCTTCCCAGGCGACACCACTGGTTGCACTAACTCAGAGCCAGTTGCTCGAGGCTCACCTTGCAGGAAAAATGTATAGTATCAAAGCTCCACTCCACCCAGCGCATTTCTGTGTGGTTTTTTTGGAGTGGGGGGACCCCTCTTATCTACTTAGGTAAAGGCAAATGCAATATACAATAAGTGGGAGGTCAGCAAAAGAACTGCTGGAGGCAGGGGAGGATATTGAGAGGAGTGCAAGAGGTAAAAGGAATAGAAGTAAATACTGTTATATATACAATCCTTCAGTAGTGGTGATCTTCAGGTGGATGTATGTCTCCATATCTCTGTCTTTTGAATGCTGAGAAATCATTTATTTTTGTTTAAGAACCTAGAATCAACTTGCACTTCTAGATTTATGGGTTGTTGTTTTTTAATTTACCTGCTTGTGTAGATCTAAATGCTCATTTTGATTAGAATCTTAACCCTTTCCATTTCCTAGGAGAGCTTTGTAACTTCTACCACCACCGGTCTCACTAACTTAGTGTCACATGACTGATAACCTGTTTATGGATACTAGCAGGCTGTAAGCTCCTAATGAGAGGAACTGAATTGAATTCATTTTAATTTCCAGAAATCAGTCAGCAAACATTTGTTTGGTTAATAGGTTTATGAGCTACCATTTAAATCCATTCATATGCATGAATTTTTTTTTATCATAATTTAGAATTTAAGAGTTTACAGATAAGGGATGTTTACAGATTGCAGTGTCCCATGATTGCCCAATATTTTTAAAAAACTAATATTTCCCATTTTTGTTGTTGAATATATGCATAGCAAAACTTACACCAATCCAACAATTTCTGCATGTACAATTCAATGATATTGGTTACATTATTTGACCCTATTAACCTTTCTTTTCCAATGGTGTAGGAGCTATACGTTATTTAATGTGGCTCTTCTAGCTAAAGTCTCAAATGCCCACCAAATGACTATTCCCTACATAAGTCTGAAAAGAATTAAGAGCAGGATTCCCTCTGTCACCCTTCTGCGTATAAATTAAGCCTTATGAGAAGCAGTAGGAGGGAGGGACCTCAGTAGCAGGAAGAGCCAGGGGTGGAGTGTACCCACTGGATTGGAGCTCCTTGTGAAGTAAACCTGGATCCAGAAGACAGCTCTAACATCAGAGAAGATTCAGTAGAAGCAGGAGCCAGAGCATGCACCAGAATGGTAGACTTCCCAACCTAGGCAGCAAGTAAAGCTGGGTGCTTCTGTGCAGGAGACTGGCTCGTGGAGTGTCTCTGGGAGACTACTTCTGGAAGCTTTCTTGTTGACCCATAGAAGTAGAGCTGAATACTTTGGGCTGATGCTTACTAGAAAGGATGTCTCTGAACACTTAATCCAGGGAACTAGGTTTGTAAATCCATGGAGCTTTAACTGGATGCCTAAGGGTTGAGGTTTACAATGGAGTGGGATGCCCCATTCGGCATTTATTAGCAGATCTGAAAGAATTTTGTCACATATCCTGATAATCACCATCCTGAGCATTTTTCACTGACTTTAAAACTTGTTAACTTCTTTAATAAGCCCTTTCATTGTAAATTTTGCTTGTGAGTTCTGTAGCCATTGCAATGGGTGTTAGAACTAAGAGAGAAAATAGAGTTCATTACAACATCACAAATTGTTATTTCCCCATTAACATAAGCTCACTGTTCCCTACATTTCTATTTAATCTTCCAAGGGTGCTGCTGGTCCCATTTAGATTGGTCTTTAAAATAGCATAACATTCTACCCCATATTGTAAATAAACCTAACTCAAATTAGGTTTGAGATGGAAGAAATCAGATGAAAAGTTTTACCATATTCAATTCTTCAACAATGGTCCTACCTAAATCATTGCACATAAGATGTACTATGTAGATTTTTGGATTACTTTTAGTTTACTAAGACATCTGATAAAAATTCTAAATCTTGTAACAGGTTTGTTTTGTTTTTCCTCTGAGTCTACTTAATAACAGTCATTATGAAGCTGGCAACTGATGTGATTTTTATGTTTTGGGGGAAAAACATATTTGAGTTTTCCATTTAAAATAAATTTTTCATGTGAATCAATAAAATGTGTACTTGAATTTTCAATTAAAAAATCTATTTTCATTAGATAGTATTCTAATCAAGAGTCTTAGAAAATAAAAAGTTTAGTAAATTAACATTTCTTAAATGGTTTTGATAATTCTGTGGGAATAAAATACCAATTGTTCATCCATAAGAGTAGAATGCCAGAAATATTGGAGAACTGGTAGAGTTTTTATCAGAGTCAGCCAGTCAGAAGTGTATTAGCTTCTCTATAAGTGATGAGGGGTTTTTTCACTATATTGGTACATGGCATAGGAAGAATGATGGCATAGGTGAACTTGAATTACTCATTCAAACAGCAGATTCTAGACTATACAGATACAGATACAGTTGAGAAATTGATCCATGCAGTGGCTTCAACAAGAATATCTCTTTAACAAGATTTAAGGGCCTTTCTAAGAGGACATTATGAACTCAAAACCCTCAAGTTTTCAGATAATGAGTATTGAGTTATTATTGTGCTGCCTCCCTGTATTATTGGTTTGGTCCAAATTTCATAAATAGTGATCGGGATTTCTCATCACAAAGCAGCTCCATAAAACCAAGCACACTGACAGCTCTCTGTGGGGTTTCAGAAGGACCATTCTCTTTCTTCGTAAAAAAAAAAATTAATAGGTCAGTGAAGGGAATATGATGCTATTCTTTATGAACTTGGGCCTGGGGTGTCTCTGTATATAGGCTTTGTAGTGATCCATTGATGTGTTTTGGATAAGGAGGAAAAAAGTTATTTACGTATTTGCTTTAGGCAACAATATATTTCCAGAGACCTTGTAAGGGTCAATTCCTTCCTAACACACAGTTGTACGCTAATCATGAGTGCTGCTCTAGCGTTTGCACGGCTATCCATCTTTACAATCTCTTTAACAAGTCTAAACCTTTCTATCTGACTTCTTTTATTGTCAAGAGTAATACTTTTAATGGCAAAAAGCACTTGTCAAGGGTACATACCAATGAGTCCTATGAATAAGAATTTCCTTTAAAAAAAATCCAATCCCCAAAGTATTTAAATATTAAGTCTATTAGGCAAGTCACACAAATAGTGTATGATCAAAGAAATTCCTAGGTATTGTCTCTCTCGCGCCCTCGTGCCACTTTATTTAATATGGATGGACAGTATTCAAGGTCTTCTTTGGGAGTTGAAATGCCACCCTCGGAAAATCTCTTCTACATTGTACACATATTACTTATTAAGGTAAATGGAAAGGTATTCTTTATGTCGTTGATTGCCATTGTTAGGGGTAGTTTTGTTTCGTTGGTTATTACCTCTTTAACTGAAAGCAGTAATGCATATGAAAGCACAGATTAAGTAATTTTGATAGGGGGAAATTACCGGGAAATAAAACTCGGTGTATGGTTTATGGGGGACCAGACTGCTGCTGGATAGATGGGCAAAGGAAACTCAAGTTTGTTTTCAGATGATGGGTTGGAGAAAAGGGGTATGTATTTTGCAAATGTTTCTGAGACTGTTTTGAGACCTATGCGACAGCATATTAAGCATTTTCATAGCATAAAACTTAAGGATAGTACTGTAATGGGCTCCCAGCTTAATAAGATTCTAATGCTGTTGTTTGAATATATGATATCATCATGTTTAAAATGTAATATTCATTCCATTTATGCAATTTCTTTTCCCTGGATGTTTGTGCTTTCTAAGATGATATAATAAGAAAATCAACTGCTTAAATGACTTTTTCTCCACAGTTTTATCAGTTTAGAGGAATAAAATGATAATAATGAAGAGATCTAATATTTGTAAAGGGCTAAATAGGGTCTAAGCTTTATGTTGGGTACTTTACATGCATCATCTTGTCACATCGTGCCTCTGCCCTTCAAGGTAGGTGTAATTATCTCCACCTTATAGGTGAAAAAACTGAAGCTTTGTTAAGTTAAGAAACTTACTTAATGTCACATATCAAGGGGCTTAAAAATGTATGTGAAAACTAGAATGAAAAGATAATGGAATTTTCCCGCTCTCTTTTGGAAGCCCCATCATAGCTCATAAAGATGCAA